CTCTTTCTGAATGCTAGTTCACTTTGAATTAACAGAGGCCACACAACCAGTGCCACTGCATTGATCATGTGACTGGCCTTGATCACTGGACTAGCCACCCAATGGAAAGAAACTTCACTCTCCTAATCAACTTTGACTATTTTTAATCCTTAGTCGTTAGCATTAGTAAATAAATAGGAAATTATATCCTATTTATTTTTTCCAAACAATTTTTTTGCATTTCTTCAGTTCTTGTCTGGTTTCTGGCCTAGGAATATGATATCATACACCTCAGGAATCTTCTGGAGGGGCTTTCTCTGCTAAGCACACCCTCCTGCCTGCATACCTAATCTAAGGTCAGATGGATTCCAGGAAATAAATGCTACTTGAATCATCTGCTCTTACTCAAGATGGCCACAAACAAAAATGCTAGGGTTTTTTTCAAAGTGGTTTCTCAGCAAAATAGAGCACTGAGACATGGATGGGGGGGGGGGGGGGGGGGGGGGGGGGTTGCTTTGAATATTACACATTAATAAAATAGAATTTTTTTTTGTGATGCTCAGATGTAGTGCAATTCCACTTTACTGAGGAAGCAGCTGATATGCATTCGAGTTTTTGACCTTTATAATTACATTTGCCTGCCAACCCTCTAGTTGCCTAGCTATTTTGGCAGTTAGGGGATGCACAATTTAAGGAGTATATTGTGAAGGTGTTCTTCCTATTTTGATTTAGTTAGTTTAGTTAGAAATAATTTCCTTGGTATTCTTGGCATTACATCTACACTCACTGGTCACCTTATTAGGTACAGCTGTTCAATTGCTTGGTAACACAAATTGCTAGTCAGCCAATCCCATGGCAGCAAATCAATGCATTTAGGCATCTAGATGTGGTGAATGCAACTTGCTGAAGTTCAAACCAAGCATCAGAATGGGGAAGAATTAAGATTTAAGTGACTTTGAATGTAGCATGGTTGTTGGTGCCATACAGGCTGGTCTGAGTATTTCAAAAACTGTTAATCTACTGGGATGTACATGCACAACCATCTCTAGGGTTTACAGAAAATGGTCCTAAAAAGAGAAAATATCCAGTGAGCAGCAGTTGTGTGGATGAAAATGCCTTGTTGATGTCAGAGGTCAATGGAGAATGGGCAAACTAGTGTGAGGTGATAGAAAGGCAACAGTAACTCAAATAACCACCTGTTACAACCAAGGTATGCAGAATACCACCTCTGACTGTACAACACATTGAACCATGAAGCAGATGGGCTACAACAGCAGAAGACCACTCCATGTGCCACTCCTGTCAGTAAGAACAGGAAACAAAGGCAACAAATCATACAGGCTCACCAAAATTGGACAATAGAAGATTGGAAAAACCTTGCCTGGTCTGATAAGCCTCGATTTCAGCTGTGACATTCAGATGGTTGGGTCAGAATTTGGCATAAACAAGATGAAAGCATGAATCCATCCTGCCTTATATCAATGGTTCAGGCTGGTGGTGGTGTAATGGTGTAGGGGATCATTTCTTGACACTAGCAAGATGCAGCTAATAAAGTGGTTGGTAAGCGTATATCTTGATAAAGAAAAAAAACAAAGTAGGCTTAGTTTTCAGTACACAGTTTTGGGTGGAGCCTATGTGCTGATGTCACGCCGCCGCATCATCGTTCTGGAGTGGCAGCCATTTTGGTATGTGGCATATGTAACATTTTTACTTCTCCACGTGGAATGCTTTTATAGATTACTTTTAAATAGATACTACACTATATATCAATCTCTGGGCTCCATTTGGTGAGCATCTTTCTTTAGGATTGAACCGGACTAGTAGAGCCGCCGGAGAGTGGATGTTATAGACCCCATGACATACATGCTACCTAACAAGTAGCTCTCTGGTGAGTGCATAGTGGTGGTGGATCGCACATTGGATTTCAGAGCACTGTATGGGACTGAATACTATTTGCCGTGATTGTTATCATCACACCACCGACATACAGATTTATATTGAAAGGGATTTTTTGTTAACTATTTTGTTGGTTACAATGAGATTAATTTATATTAATTTATATATTTTTTTGTCAATGAATTGTTTTATTATTCACTTGACATGTTTTCATGCGCTGCTCTTTTTATATATTCAGTTTTCAGTACAGACTGGGACAGTGTTTCTCAACCAGGGTGCCGTTTGGGTTCCCCCGGTCTGTCATGAACACAGAACCCAGTTTGCCCTGGATAAGCATCACAGGTAGCCATTTTGTAGGGGCCAGGCATTAGCCCCAACACAGCCAATGATGCTCCAGGGCCAGGACACAACCTCATTCACTGCTATGGAGCTTGCACCATGGCAACACATGATGCTGATTCAGGGCAGGTGGCATGCAGGGCATCTTCCATTATTCAAGAGAGGACAGAAGTCGACATTTATTTATTTATTTCAGGTACTTATATAGCGCCGTCAATTTACGCAGCGCTTTTTCATATATATTGTACATTCACATTAGTCCCTAACCCTCAAGGGGTGTACAATCTAAGGTCCCTAACTCACATTCATATACAAGGGTCAATTTAGACAGGATTCAATTAACCTACCAGCATGTCTTTGGAGTGTGGGAGGAAACTGGAGTACCTGGAGGAAACACACGCAGGAACAGGGAGAACATGCAAACTCCAGGCAGGAGATGCCGTGGCTGGGATTTGAACCAACGACCCTAGTACTGCCAGGCGGAAGTGCTAACCATTTAGCCACTGTGCTGCCCCTCTAGACTTCTAGATCTATTCCACCTCCTGCCCTCTGCCATGGTGCTGCAGTCAAAAGGTAGGGCTGAGATGTGAAGAGTGGACTGTGTGACTGGGGGGAGGGCTCTGTGATTGGGGGTGGACAGTGTGATTAGGGGTCCCTGACAGGGGCGGACTGACAACTCATGGGGCCCCCAGGCAATAGGGGATCATGGGGCCCATGTGTCCTTGCCCCAAACTCAAAAAAGCCTATGAAAAAGGTACCAGGGGCATCTCATGGGGCCCCCTACTGACCCCGGACCCACGGGCAGTGCCCGAGTTTCCAAATGGTCAGTCTGCCCCTGGTCCCTGATATGAAGGAGAGATGCTGATGTGAAGGTGGGACCTTGATGTGAAGAGAGGACTCTTATGGGATGGAGGGCTACTGATGTGCCTTGGGATTTTGAATATTTTTAAAGGGTGAAAAAAGGTTGAGAAATGCCGGACTGGAGTGTACTTCTGAAACAGAATCAAATGTGTATGTGAAATGCTATTTTAAATTGTTTTCTACACATTCTTAACCAATTTATCCAAAATGTGTAGAATTAAAGTGTAAGAAGTGTCAAAGGACATAGAGACCTAGTTTTCTCTATGATTGTTTATCTACAACAGTGTGATTTCGCAACGTGAGCTACCCAGTGCGGGGTGCCTAATGATCTTGTAGTAATGACATACAGCACATTGTTTAGCTATAGAGTGCCCCTCAGGGGTAGGGAGGGAGTCTGGAAGACAGGTAATTGCTGACAGGTCCTATACAGTAAGATGAGGGATAATGATATTGATCCAGAGGACTAATGACAGCTGAAGTTTAGAATGGCTGTGTTGCCATGCACCAAAAGAAACACAAATGGAAATTTTTGTTTTAACAATGCTTTACAAATGTGACATACAGGTTTCCAAGGAATCTTCTGAAAAAAAAATAAAGCATGTGTAATTTGCAGTAACCCTGTGCATAGTATTGTGTAAGCTATTCCTTGATTTTAAAATGTATAGAATCACGGGACATGAAGAATCAGTGTATATACATTACTACTATTGATAAAATTAAGATTATTATTTTTGCTATTTTATAGGACATATAGTAATTGGACATATGAATTCATATTCCTGTGTTAAAATGTATGGTTTACATAGAGAATCCCCTTATTTACTGTGACCCAATGGCCATGTGGTTGGTATATACTAGCTCTCAGCTAATCGATTAGATTTCCACTAAAGACTCTATTAACCCCAAGTTGATATGTTTTCCTTGCATTTTTTGGGTTTCTTCCAGGTGATCTGGTTTTTGTCCACAACCCAAAACCATTATGGTAGGTTTATTGGCTTACAGATAAAGTAGTATGTCCAGTTGTACAAGATCCTCCAATGTATTGAGATTTCCTATTTCAATTTTAATGCAAATTATGAAAAAATCCAAGGGGTATATGGAACTGACTAATGACCCAAACCATCATCATTAAAGATGGATTCCAGTGGCATTGTGGGGACTCACCGGGAGATTTCGCCCATGTGTTTTGGCATTGCTCTGCGTTGTCCAATTTTTGGAAGGAGGTAATATCATTGTGCAATAAGTTGATCTCGGCCCCCCTACAACCTACCATGTCGGTGTGTTTGTTAGGTCTGATTAGTGATCTCCTGCCCAGTATAACCTACTGTTGTTCTATGCTAGAAAGGCCATAGCTCTGAATTGGAAAAAACCTGCTCCTACATCTATTATGTTATGAAGCGGATAATTAATGTTAACTTACCACTTTATAAGAATACTTACATGCACAAGGGATGCCCTAAGAATTATGATAGAGTATGGTCCAAATGGCTGGCTGAACCCTCCACTGCCTCTGACATGACAATGCCCTGAGTGATATTGTAATATTGTATTTTATGATGTTTTATGTATTCCTCCTGGTCTTGGGGGCATAGTACATGCCATAATGTACACTAGGATGGGAAACTTTCTATCCACACTTTTATTTCTTGGTAAGTGGTGATAGACATGTGAACGCTTCGGAGAATCTTTGGATGCAGCCTTTTGTTTTTATTTTCTCTGGATGTATGATTGACCTTCTCCACCCCTGCGAGGGTAAGACATATGTGAACCTTGTTTCTGGGGGGGGTTTTGTTTGTTGTGTGTATGTCTTTAATATGTTAAACAGTTCAATAAAAAGATGTAAAAAAAAAAGATGGATTCCCAGAATTAGACAAAATCGACCTTTGCAGTGCCTCCCACTTTGCATTTAATGTAAGGTTGTATGTAGTACCGTATTTTTCGCTTCATAAGACGGACCTGACCATAAGACGCACCTAGGTTTTAGAGGCTGAAAACAGGAAAAAAAAATATTCTGAACTAATGGACTGCAGACATAGTACAGGAGATGACCAGAGACTGTGGACAGTACAGGAGATGACCAGAGACTGCGGACACAGGTCAGGAGATGACCAGAGACTGCGGACAGCACAGGGATGACCAGAGACTGCGGACACAGTACAGGAGATGACCAGAGAGACTGCGGACACAGTACAGGAGATGACCAGAGACTGCGGACACAGTACAGGAGATGACCAGAGACTGCGGACAGCACAGGGATGACCAGAGACTGCGGACAGCACAGGGATGACCAGAGACTGTGGACATAGTACAGGAGATGACCAGAGACTGCAGACAGTACAGGAGATGACCAGAGACTGCGGACAGTACAGGAGATGACCAGAGACTGTGGACAGTACAGGAGATGACTGCTGACCTTTGGGGAGGGGGGGGAGCGGGTACCCGCTCTTACTTCCGCGGAGTTGTTTGACCTTACCTGTTCCTCTATCTAGCCGCGCGCTGTCTTCCCGGCTTCTGTAGTGTGGGCGGCTCGGCTTGACAGCCGGGTGCCCAGTGCGCATGAGCGAGAAGCGCTGCGTTTTGTGATTGGTCCGGCGGCTTCTGGGACCTGTCATGTGTCCCAGGTGCCGCCTTGCCATTCACAAAGCGCACCAATTCTCGCGCATGCGCACTGGGCACCCGGCTGTCAAACCGAGCCGCCCACACTACAGAAGCTGGGAAGACAGCGCGCCGCTGGATAGAGAAACAGGTAAGGTCCCCGCTGCAGAACTGAGTGGCCGGCCCGGTATTCTGACACGGCGGCGGTGGAAATACCGGACCGGCCGCTCCATATTCGCTCCATAAGACGCACTGACATTTTCCCCCCTTTTTTGGGGGGAAAAAAGTGCGTCTTATGGAGCGAAAAATACGGTACTTATCCTATCCGATTAAAAATAAGTGCCTATACTGTTTAAAATCCAGTAATGCACTGTTTCACCCTGCTCTGCAAATGCACAATTGCTCTCTATTTTTCAGCATTGTGCCTAAAATCAGTCACTAGAGGCCGAACAGCTGACAGCCCACAGATTTACTGCTTCTCAGCAGTGCTGGGCTCAAGCAAAATGGCAGCCTCTGGCAAGAAGAGACAGGAGCAATGCTGGAGGGAATTTACAGCACACACTAATTTTGGCAGCATAGTTATTAATGTGGAATATATTATCTTTGCTAAAGAACATTGTTTTTATTAAGTTGTTATGGGTAAATTTTCACTTTAACCCCTTTACGCCGGCTGCACAAATGTGCGGCCTCCCAGCGTCTGGGCCTAGACACCGAGTGGCCGCACATTTCAATATACAAAATACATATGTGCTGAGAGCGCACGCCCTGCGTGCTCCCAGCACACTTGTCTGGTACTCACGGAAAGGTCCCGGTCTCCTCTTTCGATCGGGACCTTTTCTGATCATGTGATCGCCGTGACACGTTACAGCGGTCACATAATCCCTAAAACCCCGCCCCACCCGTCCCTAAACCCCGCCCCGCTTCTGAAACACTTAAAGAGCTGGGAGACGCCGGCGTGAAGGGGTTAACTAAGATCTATAACATTAGTTTAGAGTGATCTGACCCTTTAAAGTCTTTGCAGGGTGAAATTATAGTATATCTAAACCTAACAACAAAAATGTATTACATTGCAGGCTGGCAGTCCTTGTATGTGGTGGCTGAATTCATTTTTGTCTTTCAGGTAAAGGATATTATTTGCAAGTTCAGGGAATATCTCTCAATCCTTCAGGAACCATAGTGTCTTTGTCACTTCCTGTGCACTAAATGTAATCTTCATTCCAAAAAATCTTTTGTAAACTACTTTGTACAAATCCCCCATCCCCTTGTGTAATGGAGATGAAGAGAGGAGGATGTGATTGTATTTAAAATTAGGAAAGCAAGTCTCCTGCTTCTGTACTGACATATTTCTTCATAAAAACAAAATAAAGAATTTACAAAAAAAAAGCAGCCTAGGATGACAATGTTGCTCCCCCATAGACACAGTAATGTGAATGAGTGTGGTCACCCTAGGAAGAAGTGTGTTAATATCGAGATTACATACATATATTGACAAAAGTATTGGGACGCCTGCCTTTACACACACATGAACTTTAATGGCATCCCAGTCTTAGTCCGTAGGTTTCAGTATTGAGTTGGCCCCGCCCTTTGCAGCTATAACAGCTTCAACTCTTCTGGGAAGGCTGTCCACAAGGTTTAGGAGTGTCTATGGGAAGGTTTGACCATTCTTCCAGAAGCACATTTGTGAGGTCAGGCACTGATGTCGGACGAGAAGGCCTGGCTCACATTCAATGCTCTAATTCATCCCAAAGGTGTTCAATCATGTTGAGGTCAGGACTCTGTGCAGGCCAGTCAAGTTCCTGCACCCCAATAAAGCTAGTGTGCATGGAACTATAAGGTGTTGGCTGGAGTTTGGCTTCAATTTGTTGATATATCTAAATCTGCTAGTAAGCCTAACTCCCCTTCCCCTAGATTAACAATACTGCTGTCCAAAGGTGTCTGAGTGTAGGCAATACAGAAGGTATGTTACTGGCTGGATCACCAGGTGAAAACTGCTGGAAAAAAGCCTTAAAAAGAAAACAAATGCAGCTAATGACTGGTAAGCTGCAATATATTACCTTTTCGGTTTTGGGTTTAATACCGCATTAAAGCCTATGTTTGGTTAAAAAAATAAAGAATAATTATAAGAGGCAGAAAAAAAAATATTGAACGTCCTTAAAACAGAGTTTCAACTGAAATAAAAAAAAAAAAAAAAAGTCAGCAGCTACAAAAACTGTAGCTGTTGACTTTTAAAATACAGACACTTACCTGTCCCTCGGTCCAGTGGTGTCCTCACCACGGCTGGTTTCACCGGCCGTCTTCTCTCCCTGGCGCTGGCATCTTCAGTGTGGGCACCCATCAGTGACAGCTTGTAGATTCACAGCTGGGTGCCCACTGCGCATGCGTGAGAAGCGCTACACTTTGTGAATGGCCCCGTAGTCTTCTGGGACCTGTCCTGTGTCCCAGAGGACTACAGGGAGGGAGGGGGGGAAGACAACTGCCATTTCCGATCACTGGAAGTGGGAGTGGGTACCTGTCAAATTCGGGTACCCGGTCCCCAAAGGTGCCAATCCTTAATGAGAAGCGGGGGGCAAAGGCTTAGAGTGGAACTTCCCCTTTTGGGTGGAGCTCCACTTTAAAAGTGTAATTTCTGATGCCCAGTGTGCATGAGGCCTTTGGCTTTATATTTTACCCACATGGAAGAAAAATATTTTTGAAATATATTTTAAAAATATTCTTCCTAAATATATTGACATCTGAAGAAAAATCTGAAGAATATATTTAAAAAGTATATATTTTTTAAATACATTCTTCATATTTTTTTTTTAACATATAAAAAAGTCATTTTAACATATATGTTTACATATATTTGTAAATGCATTCCAAAAATGTAGATTTTTATTTTTAAAGACATACAGTATATTTGAAATGTATTTTTAAAAATATTTTTTTATATATTTTGTAATAAAAATGCATGTATATATAACGCAGTGTGTGTGTATATATATATATATTTATATATTTATTGAAATATATTTTGACATGTATTGAATATTGCCAAAATCGTAGCATTTCAAAAATATATGTCAATATATTTGGGAAGAATATTTTTCAAATATATTTCAAATATATTTTTCTTCCATATGGGTAGTCATACAATATTTGAAATCACTCACAACCAGCACCAGAGAATTAGAGGTAGAGTTGTCTCCTGCTGAAGACCATCTCTACATAATCCAGCGGTTCACATCTCAGGAGGGGTGGGGGTCTGATGTAAAGCTGTAAACAGTTTTTTTTTCTCAATTCCTGTCAAGAATTTATAATAGTTCCAGATCTTCTTTTCAGTTTTCCATTCTCATTGCATCTAATGTTCTATTTCCACACCTATAATTTACCTGATGACAGGTCTGCATAATAACTGTACATGTTAATTACACACCCAGTCTGTATCCAGCATGAGGCCTCCGAAACGTGATCAGTGTAATATTTTCCACAGATATATTCTCCATACATGGTTTAGTATATTCCTTCAGCAATAAATAGTTCACAGCAAAGTTAAATGTTGATTTAACATAAATTCCAACAACTCAAACTGAGCATATGATGAAAAAAAAAGGTTTAAAGAGACCCTGTCACCAGCACAAAGATAAATGCCTAGAAACATCAAATATTTGAATTGTTTAATTGCTGAATTTTCACTTCTCATGGACTATATTTTCTTTTGACTTATGCCTCTGAAGTTATTGGCAAATCCGATCTTGCATGTCATAGTCTTCTCCTCTTCTGGGAGTGCCTAATTACTTGCTGTGTTGGCCTAGCTCCCCCACCCATCCCCTCACCGCCCTACATAAACCTTAATGTAGCAACCTGGGGGTAGAGTAAAGGTGAATACCATAGAATGTCACTTAAGTGACAACTCTGAGTCTGCTGAGGCTGCTAACATCCCATCCAAGATGGTGGCACCAAGCGGCATTCTCAGGGCTTTTGGACTTCTACACAAGGGAGGCACTTGCAGGTAAATAAGATATGTAGCAGTACCCCTTAGAAGTTGCTGACGATTTGAGTCCCCCTATAGTCCTGCATAGCCAGGCAACACGCATTTTGTACAGACTTGCATTATGGAGAAAGTAAACAGTCCTTGAGCTTGGTTTTTAAATTTTATTAAGGGGTATTGAACTTGGATGGGGTCAAGGGGTGTATGGGATGCCCAAATCTTTTCTTGGAGAGCTCTCCAGCCTCTCATGGTGCACCACCCCAGACCCCAGATTAATCCTCTTCTCATCCAGCTATCTGGAGGAAATCCCTGGGCAAGGTGATCCAAAGCTGCAACTTTAAATGTAACAGTCCCCATGTCTGGCTCAGGGGGTGCAGGATTACTCAGTCCTTGAGGGGACTGGTTGGGTTGGTGGCTGCCTTCAGGCCTTCTGCTAGGCTGGCTCCTTCCCTTGTTCCACTGGTGGTCCTGCCTCCAGGGACCAATGAGGCTGAGTGATCCTCCTTTCAATGTCCTGGCTTGTAGGTAGGCCTCTTTCCACTGGGCCCTCTCCCAGGCTCCTGCATCTCAGCCTTCTTCACATCTTCCACCCCGAACTCTCCTCCTGCTGAGCAGTCATATTTAAAGGCTATCCCAAGGATCCCAGGATCCCTTAATTATGCAGATCAGCCCCTCCTCA